ATCACTTTCTAGTGAAGCACTCTGTCTGTCTGTTTGTGTGTGTTTGTGTGGGTTTCTGGGCGCCCGTACACGTGTGTTTATGTGGACATGCACATGTATACATGTGTGTACATGTCTATGTGTGTGCATGACATGTGTGTATGTGCATGTGCATTATGTGGCTGCATTTGCAAATATGCACACGTGTCTGTTCATTCATCATGCCTCCCTGGAACTTTCGGAACAGAAATAAGGAGTAAGTACAATGTAGATGCTTCGTGTAACATGTTTTCCGGGATTAGATCCGCACAAAATTTTCACTCTTATTCTGGTTATATGAAAATTTCTTATCAATATTTTTAATTAATGGTTCACAGCTTGCATATGGGCGTTGTTTTGCATCCAACTCCGAGTACCAGCAGAGAAAACTTGCTTGTACAGTTGTGGCAAGTGAAATCCAACACTTGGCATAAGGGACTGCACCCTGCAGTCTGCAGCCCTGCATACGTACAGTACATGTGTTCCATACAACTTTATCTGTCTCATGACAAAACTCGTACTCATCACAGTCAAGGTTCAAAAGGTGCTGGCAAAAATGAATGGGGATTGGATACCAATACTCCTTATGTGTACCATGTTTGTGAACTGTGTGTATCTACGCTGTGACCTTTTGATCTGTTTGGGATGCATACGGCTCTATAGTACAAATTAGGTGCAGTGCTTTACATCATTGGTGTCCATTTGTGGCGCTGTCCCCTATGGTAAGTGTCGGATTTCACTTGCCACAACTGTACCTTTGCTGCACTGTTTGTGTGTAACGTAGGTACATGCAGTTTTGTACAGGTCTTCTCGCCTTAGTAGATAACCTCTCGGCCATCCAGTATGTTATCTTAATCTGCAGACAGAACTGTTTCGTCCTCTGTAGACTCATCAGCGCAGCACAGAGAAAATGAGTTAATGATATGGGACTTAACCTGTAACAGGACTTGCAACTAAGGGCACGTTCTTATATTCTCTAGCTACTAGGAGAAGAAGAAAATAGAAGTCGAAGAAACTGGGATAACTCAAGAACAGGTCTCGAAGAATTCGGAAATATTTTGCACATGTCAAGCAGTATGAAGCGCCAAAGGGGCCGCAATCTTGAGTTATGAATGTAGTATGCACATGTGCGTATGCGAAAAGGGAAATGCGCACACTCATGATCAACACGTGGCTTTTAGCCGTAGTTCGCATACTTTGATCCCAAACCGCGGGAATCTCCAAGTTTCAACCACCTCTGAAGCTTGGAGAGCTTGGAGAGCTTTGGAGAGCCTCCTAAAAGTTGGAGAGAATATAAGAACAGCTCTCGAACTTTTCGGAGAGCCTCCAACTTTTCCGAGAGGATTTAAGAACGTACCCTAAATGTACAAGGAGTACCCAGTTTCAGCCTCAAATGGGTACCCTCACCACAACATTTCTTAAAGTTGGCATATTGTAAATTTGATATAATTTAAAAATGTTCTAACTTTGCTAAAATGTGCAAGTGGCTGCATTGGAGTTTGCGGACAATTAGAAAAGATTGTCTAACTCGTTATAGAATAATTGATAATCTATCACATGGCAGTTTATTGGATACAAATGCTGTAGACCGTTCTCGCGCGATTAGAGCCATCTCTTGAATAATGCCCCATCTCGAATAGTGCCACAGTCTAGAAAAGATATCTCTTCACAAGTAAGCAAATAGTTATCCACAGTGTCGCTCGATGCACAGTCTCATCAAAATTTATCAGATATAATTGAAAGAATTTATGGCAAACCCCACTACCTTGTATTCTATTTGCTTGGTATGCGTGTGTGTGTGTGACGATAAACAACGAATATATTTCACATGGCCTTAGGGGCCTTCCGTAAATACCGATACCGGTATATATTTACTTATTTAGAAACGAAAACTAGTCGTTTCTCTTCAACCCCCCTCCCTGAGAAACGAACACATACAAATGGTACATAGTATCGATATTTTTGATATTTTTTCTGGACATGCTCACGCATGCAAAATGTACATCGATATTTTTCGAGAAACGAACAGGCGCTCAACCCCCTCCCGATCCCTAAACGACTAGTTTTCGTTTCTAAATAAATATCTATATTTACGGATGGCCCCTTAGTAGTAGGCCTCTCTGTTGTGTACTGGGATGTGTTGTGTACTGGGATGTGTTGTGTACTGGGATGTGTTGTGTACTGGGATGTGTTGTGTACTGGGATGTGTTGTGTACTGGGATGTGACACCGACAGGAGAAAGCTGGGGTGCGGAGACTTCAGCAGACATGCAAAAATGGTGACGGATCAAGTGCTGAAATCTTGATTTGTCAGACGCCCTGGCCGAACATTTCGCACCCAAGCCTCTTGTGATCGCGGAACGATACCGTTTCCACAAAAGAGAGCAACGCCAGGGAGAGTCTGTGAACGCTTACCTTGCAGAGTTGCGACGGTTGGCCAGATACTGTGAGTTTGGCGATGTCTTGGACACTACGTTGCGTGATCGTTTCGTGTACGGAATACGGAGCCAAGCTCTTTGTAAAGTACTGCTGGCGGAAAAAAATCTCACCTTGAAAACTGCGATAGAGAAGGCCAGTAGTTTGGAAGTGGCAACGCGCGATGCCTCGGAGCTCGCAGGAAGTGTACCCACTGCTGGGGTACATGTTGTGGAAAGACCACAACATCTTCGTGCAGCTGCTGGCAAGCAAAGTCAAAGTCAATCCAGTGTGCACCAATCGTCCTGTTTCCGCTGCGGATCAGAAGCACACAACCCAAGTGAGTGCCCATACAAGTCCTATGAGTGTCGACACTGCAGAAAAACGGGTCACCTTCGTAAGGTTTGGAAACAGCGTTTCGCAGGAAAGTCGAAGTATGCATCAAAAGGAAGTCCGAGTGGCCGCGGTGCGTGCCATAACTTGCCTGTCTCAGATGATGATGACTTCGACACGCTTGCAATTTTGACGGCCAATGTCTTGCAAGCACCAGCAGCAGCTGAGGATAAGTCACCGGCATCCAGTGTACGGAAAGCCCTGTGGATCGATGCAGCTGTCAATGGCCAGTCCATACGCATGCAGATTGACACAGGAGCTGCGGTATCTATTATTCCCACTAGCATCTATAAGAAGTTGCTGTCCAGTACCTCGCCACTTACCCAGAGTAAGTTGAAGAAGTTGCGAACACACACTGGAGAACCTGTACGGCCTCGCGGAACGTTTTAGGCGCTCGTGGTGTACAACCACCAGTCGGCAGAGTTCCCGATTCATGTAGTGGACACATCGGGTCCTCCGCTATGTGGCCGAAATCTGCTGGCCCATATAGCTTTTGACTGAATATTTTTAACGAAAAAAAGCTGACAAATATTCGTAAAACGTGAGGTTACGCTCAACATTTCAACTTTCTCGCAGTGGGTCGACGTGGCGGCTGCGCGGGTGCGAAGAGTCAAGACAGGGAGGTGTAAAATATCAGTATTTTAGTACTCCAAGTGACGAAAAATAATTTCGTAGATCTGCTCTGTTTCGGTCGCGTTTGGACGGATCTTCGTAGCAACTTTCGTTACTCGAACCCGGACGGTCGAAATCTTACGAATTTTCGTTGTGCGCAACCTCTCTATTGAACCCGCAACTGAAGGTGGATCAGCACCCTCTTCCACGTGTAGAAGATGTGTTCGCCACTCTCGCTGGAGGACAATGCTTCACCAAGATCGATCTGAAACAAGCGTACCTCCAGATGGAAATGGAGGAGGAATCGAAGCCACTCCTCACACTGACAACGCACAAGGGCTTGTATCAGCTCAACTGTCTCGGGTTTGGTGTGGCGTCCGCACCAGCGCTGTGGCAGCAGGCCATCGACGCGCCCTGCATGGTGTTCCACGTCAGGCCTGCCTGCTAGATGACATCATCGTCACCGGTCGCGACGACGACGAGCATTTGGACAACGTGGAGAGTATCTTGGGTCGTCTCTCCGACCACGGCCTGAGAGTCAATCCAGCGAAGTGCACGTTCTTCGCAGATGCAGTGGAGTACTGTGGTCACATTGTCAGTCGCCATGGTTTGCGCAAGACTGATGACAAAATTAAGGCGATCAATGAGGCCCCGACACCACAGAACGTGTCCCAGCTGCGCAGCTTTCTATGTATGGTATGTTACTACCAGCGCTTCTTGAAGGACTGCTCCACGACTCTGCACCCTCTCAGCCGCCTGCTCCGAAAGGGTCAGTCCTGGCATTGGATAGCTGACTGTGCAGCAGCATTCAAGACCATCAAGGCAGCTATCGCCTCGGATCAGGTGCCAATGATCCCGACCTGCCGGTACAGTTGGCAACTGACACATCACCCTACGGCCTGGGAGCGGTGCTCTCACATGTTCTGCCGGACGGTACGGAACGGCCGATTGCCTTCGCGTCACGTTCGCTTACCGAGACCGAGAAGCGGTTTGTCCAAATAGATAAGGAGGCCTTATCTATTGTCTGGGGGGGGGGGGGCGTAAGTTTCACACGTATCTGTTCGGACGATTGTTTGTGCTGTTGACAGACCGCGAACCCCTGACAGCCATTTTCAGTCCGAGCAAAGGATTGCCAGCTCTGACGACAGCGCGTCTACAGCGGTATGCCATATTCCTGGCCAGTATGAGTTACCAGATCAAGTATCGCAAGTCAGGTGATCATGGAAATGTTGACGGCTTATCATGACTGCCCTTGCCGCACTCGCAAGAGGAGGAGAGCCTGGACTGGGCAGAAGTATTCAGCATGGCCCAGATTGATCCGCTTCCAGTGACAGCCGTGAAAGTCGCTCGCCACACCGCTCTTGATCCAGGCTTGGCCAAGGTCCTAGCTGGTGTTCGTGACGGGTGGCCACACTCCCCAACTGACGGTGACATGCAGCCATTTGTGAGGCGCAAGAATGAGCTGGGACTGCACCAAGGATGTCTTATGTGGGGAATCGGGGTGTCATCCCACCCTTACTACGCAAGTGAGTACTCGAGGAACTGCACACAGGCCATCCAGGCATGGTTCGTATGAAGTCATTGGTCCGTAGCTTCGTTTGGTGGCCAGGCATCGACGCTGACATCGAGACAACCGGCAAGGTCTGTGCTGGCTGCCAGGCACACCAGGCAGCACCACCAAAGTCACCACTCCATCCCTGTGAGTGGCCGTCCAAGCCACGGCAATGCCTCCACATTGATTTTGCAGGACCGTTCCAAGGGCACATGTGGCTGATCGTGGTGGATGCCCACAGCAAGTGGCCGGAAGTTCTGCCAATGAACAGCACCACTGCTCCAGTCACCGTTCGCTGTCTCCGGGAAGTGTTCGCCCAGCATGGTTTGCCTGACCAGATCGTCAGTGATAATGGCCCGCAATTCACATCCGATGAGTTCCGTCGTTTCACTGAAGCCAACGGCATTACGCAGACCTTCTCAGCACCGTACCACCCATCGACTAATGGGTTGGCCGAACGATTCGTGCATACGATGAAGCAAGCACTCAAGTCCCATTCGGACACAGCACCGCTTGAGTTCTTGCCTCGCTTCCTGTTGTCGTATCGCACCACACCACATGCAACAACGAATGCCACAAAAAGCATCTTTGCTAATGCATCGTGATTTACGCGCTCGGTTGTCTTTGGTCCAGCCCAGTGTTCAGGCATCTGTGGCCAAGAAACAAGCAGCTGAGAGTAGTGCGAGATCAGCAAACCGTGAGCGGACGTTTGCTGTGGATGACACAGTCATGGTACGTGACTACCTCACTAACGCACCACACCCGTGGATTCAGGGCACAGTGCAAGCGGTACACGGCTCCCGTAACTATACTGTGGAAGCTGGCCCAGACCAGCAATGGAGGCGCCATGTGGAACAGCTCCGGTCAGTCGTTTCCGCTCCGCAGTCATCCGTACCAATGAGCGAAGCACCTTTGCCGTGAGTCGCAGCACCGGCAGAGCCTGATCACAGTTTGTGTTTCCCACTGCTCATTCGCCGACTTGTGTTCCGCCACCACCCAATGTTGAAGCCGCTGCTATTCCAACACCTCCACCTGTGCAAGCACCAGTGAGTACCAGCAACTACTGCAACGCAACAGACGCAGCCGCCACTGGCACTGGCTCCAACTGAGTCCCGTCGTAACCCGGCAAGAACTCGAGTTATGCGGCAACTTATGCCAGCTCGCCTGAGAGATTAAAACATTCTCCTCATTGCTCTGATAATCTGTTGCTCACGTGGTTACTGAATTATTGTGCTCTCGGTTTATCAACTAACTTTCTCTTGTGTGTTAATGTATATACGCGTTTGCAACCCTACTATACATGTAGGGGAGGAAATGTAGTGTATGTGCTGATGATACACTCATGGACATTTCTTACGTCATCATTATCATATTGACGTCACACCATGCGCAGATCATTTTAGTATGTCTGCCTTTTTGTATTGACACACGTGTCTCCTTGTTCCGTTGACATAATTTACTTGCAATTGTAGTTGATCTTCTTCTAGTCTCCATGTAAGTGATCATAGAATAAACCGAACCCCGTCTCATCATAGAATAAACCGAACCCCGTCCTTAGCTGAGACACTACAATTGGTAAGTGTGTACTGGAACTGCCTGCCGCCTGATGTCCGCTCCATCACAATTCCTTCTGCATTTAAGAAAGCAATTACAAACGATATCTTAAACTCTCTTACCCTCTCCTATGATCTCAAAGACGCATAACTGTCAGCATTCCCTCCACCCTGGAACCTTTGGATCCGTTGCATCATTTTTATGAAACACATCTTCAAATTCAAATTCGTTACTTGTAGCACTCCCTCGTTGATTCGTTTCCGTCTCCTCTTTGTGCCTTGTTCATGATTGTTTTTTCTCTTCCTCCTTTTCTTATATCCCTATCTTCATCATTTCCCAAGAACTGTGGCAATACGCCCAGTGAGAAGGCAGATTTTGCCTGTACTCATGGTGAAGTAAAATACAGCTTAACAAACAATTCCAGGGACATACCAAAGGCTGGAGCCTAATGATTACAACTGTGAGGAGAGGGCAACTTTGTCTAACAGTTGCTGTTTATTTTAGAACAAAGAGGAAGAAATGTTTCATGCGCATGCGTCTAACTAGTGAGAGAGCTGATGTCATGCAGCGAGGTCGCTACATGTGTGATCCACGGTAGCCTAATCGGTAGGAGACTGTCCCGGAAAGACAAGGGTGCTGGGTTTGAATCCCACTCGCGGATCCTTCTCTTGCAACACAATTGGCGGTTTGGCAAGTTTGGCTTATCGTATGCACTCGAACCGATATCAAATTCTCTTTCTTCTGGACTATACTTGAAAAATCGATGGTCTCATACGAGTACATGCCAATGGTCCAGGGTTTCCCGGAACAGTCCACGGAATAGGGTGTTTGTCCCGGGGGCTCGGGAAGTCCTGCGAAAGAAGGAACTTTTGGAATCCATGTTTTCCTCCTTTTTAAATATGACGCTTTTTCAGTGTTGCCTCGATCTAGATCTGTTGTAAGTACACACAGCACATAGTAGCACGTCGTAGACAAAACAAACAAACAAGTGGAACTGCAGCAGATCGCCGCTCAAGAGAAATTTTACGTGTACAGTTACAGCTCAATGCAATGACATTCTTTTTTGCATGAACAGCGGTCATGAAAATCCATCTGCTAATGATGGATGCGCTGAAAAATTGGTGTCCAGGGAAAACGGGAAAAATCAATGGAATTCACCCTCGTTGTCCAGAGAACTCAAACCTGCAGGTTGGCATGTATATGTATGTGCACTTCCACTTTAATACATATGTTTGTATGCATTTGTGTGTCTGTGTAGATCCTCAGTGCCCTTTCGTGACGTATTTTCAGCTCAGTGGAAAAATTGACAAACATTTACCAGTGCAGAAAGATCGTGATATCTTCTTTGCAACCGCCATGTGCAAAGAAGCTGGTCTTCGTTTGCCAGCCTTGTACGCCCCCGGCCATGAAGTGCTGTGTGTGCTACGTGCGATGAAGAGCAATGTGATAAAGAGCGCATTTGTCAACAAGTTTATCAAAGGCGGGGCTTACCAGATCCAGATAAAAAACGGGCAGGTGGTTTTCAAGCCTGTGACTTCATCTTTGTTGAAGGTCAAACACATCTTCTGTATTGCCTAGCAAGAGTGATAGCGACTGCACGGAGGTAAGAGCTTCCACACCTGGATAGGAGTTGAATCAAGCAATGAGAGGGCTTGAGAGCCCAGGAGCTCTCGCTATGCTTGAAAAATAGCCTGTAGTTCATCATCTTGTGTTTTTTTCAAACTGATAGAAACGTCTTTGCAATACAATTGTTTTCGTGAGATCCTAGTGCCCCGTGGCACAACCCTCGTCACAGACACAAGCTCCTAATTCTCTTGTTGGTTAGAAGGTGTTCTTTATTGATCTGTCCCTGTTCTCGGGAGTTGTGTGATTATAGGAAAAATAGTGTGCAAAGTGAGTCGGACATGTATGGAAAAGTGTTGTATCGTGCTCTTTACAGTGGGTGCCCAATCGGGCAAAGCACAAACGAAAAGGGTGCCGCGAGTCAGTGCTGTCATGCAGCAAAAAGTTACATTCTCCCCCCTGGTTACGAACCGTGGGAGAGTTAACATAAACATGTAAAGAAAGAACAGAAGAAAAGCGGAGAAGACTGTATTAAACCTAGCAACCATCGTGTTATTCGAGTAGAAATAAGGGTGGATGGTCCATGGACGCACAAAACAAGAAAAAAAGAAGAAAAACAGCGCAGCTAACTGCAGCTCAGAAGTGCGGGGGCATGACAGCTCTACGACCGCACGTCCAGTACACAAATGTTCGCGACGGGTCGGCGAAAAACTCTACCTGATGCGGTCTTGACGTCGACAACACGGACAACACCATCGCGGCCTGGATGGACAGCTGAAACGACACCTTTGGGCCAGGAACCCCGTGGTGCGTTGTCATCCGCGATTATGACAATGTCGTTTACAACGAGCTGCTTCGTTTGGCGGTTCCACTTTGTGCGGCGAGCGAGAGTTGGAAGGTACTCGCGAACCCAACGGCGCCAGAACATATCTGCAAGGGCTTGCGCAACGGGCCATTGGCGCCGCAGCGAGACATCTCCTGCTTGCGCGATTCCTTGAAGAATGGCGCACGAGGAACCGATCAGGAAGTGGTTTGGGGTCAAGGCCTCGTCGTCGGCGGCATCCAGACTGACATGTGTGAGAGGTCGACTGTTCACGAGTGCCTCTGCTTCTGCCAGTCAGTCAGGAGGGTCTCCTCCTTGGGATGGCGCTCTTTGAGGATAGAGTGAAGTGCGGTCTTGATGGATCCAACGAGCCGCTCCCAGGCTCCGCCCATGTGGGGTGCCGCCGGCGGGTTGAACGACCATGTAATGCCGTCATGAGAAAGCTGGTCCTGGATGCGAGCTTCATTCAGCTCACGAATGGCCTGGCGGAGCTCTTTGGCGGCGCCTTTGAAGTTGGTTCCGTTGTCTGAGTGGATCACCAGTGGGCAGCCTCACCTGCTGATGAATCGCCGGATGGCCATTAGCGTTGAGTCTGTGGACAGGTCGTGCGCCAGCTCCACGTGAACGGCTCGGGTGGCGAGACAGGTGAAGAGAGCGCCGTACCGCTTCTCATGTCTGCGCCCAACAGTTACCGACAGCGGGCCGAAGTAGTCCAGTCCTGTCCGAGGGAAGGGTCGCTGAAAGGCGTCAGTGCGGCACTCTGGCAGGGCCGACATGATTGGTGGCTGCGGCTTGGCACGGAGATTCTTGCAATACTGGCACTCGCTCCAGGTGCTTCTTACCGCTGCACGGATACCGGGTACCCAGTACTTCTGACGCAGCTCGTTCACTACGCGATCCTGTCCTTGATGTAACGACCAGACATGGTGTTGCTGTATGAGCAGCGTAGTGAAGGCATGATTCGGCGGGAGCAATACAGGTTGGCGCAGGTTCTTGTTTTCAACCTTTGCGTTCCGTACGCGGCTGTCAGAGTGCATGATGCCATTGTCGTCGATGAAGGGTGTCATCTGGACCAGGCGGCTGTCCTTGTCGACTGGCTTGCCCTTGCGGAGCGCAGCGAGTTCTTCGGGGAAGCCTTCCGCTTGTGCAGCTTTCCACCAAAGACTCTCCGCGGCTCGTAGCTCGGGGACTGTCAGCGACGGCTTGGCAGTGTCTCTTCCTCCGTGTCTCAGATGGCGAGTGAAGCGTAGCACCCAGGCGGTTGCCCTTACCAGGCGACACCAGCTTGAGAAGCGCTCGATCTCTGGTAGTGCTGCCTTCAGGCTGGGTGGCTCTGAGCTGTCTCCGGCTGCTGCGTGGGCGCCACTGAACGCACGCTTCAGCTCGAGATCATCCGGGTCCGGCGTACGAGTCTCCTCGGCGGGCCAGTCTGCTTCGCCTTGCCCCAAATAGTCCGGGCCGCCAAACCAGCGATCGTCCGGCTGCAAGCGCTGGGGAGAGATGCCTCTGGAGAGGTCGTCGGCTGGGTTCAGTCTTGTTGGTACCCAGTGCCACTGGTCTACTTCTGTTGTGTCCGTTATTTCCGCGATCCGGTGGGCCACAAATGGTTTGAATTGCCGTGCGTCCGAGCGTATCCACAACAGCACCGTTCTGGAGTCTGTCCAG